TAACTTGTTTAACAAGTTGTCATCGCTATCAAAGGCAGCACATTTCGAGTCAAACCGTTTAATTAAATCGGAATGTAACACCATTAGGACGAATTCATCGGGCTCGGACGTATTTGGTCATATACACATTATGTACATATGTAAATTCGAATATGTATCTACCTATAGAAAGGCTTTCATTTCTCATCCCGGGGCGGTATTTTCTTTTAGTCACTTTCGTGATAAAATCAGAATGTAAATCTGCAAATGAATGCGCATACAAAACGAACCAGCCGTAATATTTTAAATTCCAAAGCCAAAAAGAATAAATGCGCATAATCTTTGAACGTTCCGGAATAAATACCAAACACTACTACCAACTGCCTTCATATAGGTAGCGTATTTATTGCGCTCCGCGTTATTTATTTCTATATCTGGACACTAAGCTCCGCAAATGTAGACTATTGAATATCGCCATCACAGCCCAGTTTTTGCGCCAATAAATAAATGACCATAGGTCGTATTTTCATTGTAACTTGGATGATAACGATAAACACACTCTACGTATTTTACATACATTCATTATTAGAAAACCCACACGGCCTTATCGTTATGCACGTTTTTCAATTTCGAATGTAATTACTTAAACTAACCAGAAAAATGACGAGGAAATCTAAAATTTGACAGTCTGTGGGGAATCCCAAGAATATGCCAAAATGTTGAACAAATGTTTTTAAAAGGTTTTAAAGAAATTTGAGCTTTTCTTAATTGGTCTCGCTAATCAGTCTTTGGGTGTCAAAGCCAAAAGGATTTCATTAAATGCAGATACTTCACACTTTTTAATTTTGCGAAAACATAACATTTTAATAGGAATTAAAAACCATTGTCAAAATAAATGAATTATACAGCAAGTAGGATACTGTGATTATAAAGTGAAGGATTTTATTACCAATATAGATGGGCCGAGTACCCAATATCGATCCGGTACCTATAGCAAATTCTGAAGTTTTTTTAGGATCCGGTCGGATACCGGATAATGACGCCGGGTACTGGCAGTGCCGGATAATTCTACCAGAGAGAAAAAGGAAAAACTACACGGAGAAAATGAAAAAGGAAAATTTACCTAAATATTAAACCGATAATTACAATTTATCGCACTAGCCCGTTGCTTCGTAAACGAAAATAATAAAAATTATAATTTGAACCCGAATTTGTAAAACTAAAATCTCAGCAGAAATTTATTTACAAGGTATTTTAGTTGATATTACACATTTAATTGTAATAATTNTTGCGTTGTCATAAAAATTTACTTTTCTCCGTGCAGTAAAAATAATTTAATAAATATAACAAAAACCCTACCTAATAATAACTGGAATAGGTAGATGTCCTAATTTATATTGTTCATTCATCATTAAATTATTAGTATTATTAATGTCTATGTTTTAGACTTGTTCAGACATCAAAAACACGGGTAATCCCTTGACTTTCCCTTTTTAGTTACCTTCCTACTAGCGCTTCAAAGGAAAATTCCCCAAAAGGAAAGTATTCTAGACTGGCCGTTATTCTCCGTCTGTTCCTGTGGTAGCACAAGTTCTCTGTGACCTATAACTAATATTTCTACTAGAGTTTTGGCTTCTCCTGCCTAGACAAAGAATTTGTTTTTCCCATTTTCTACAGTTTGCAAGGGCGATGAAGGCTTTTACCTGTCTGCTTCTTTGTCATTTTCCCCTTATTATACTAAATTCTTTATTATTTAGATATAGTTCTTGTTGGTATATCAGATTTCAATTAACGATAGCTTATTCGTATGATTTTGTCACATTGCAGACTTTTAGTGTTATGCACATTATAAACTCGACTAGATCGTCCCGTTGAAAATCCGTCAACCACAAATTAAAATTTCATTAGTTGATTGTTTGATCGACCTTTTTGAACAAGACTCAAAGATTGGTTTGAAAACCAACGTTAACGAAGACATGAATCATTAACCGTAATAGTTTTGTCTAGGTTACCACCATCCGGTATTTCCCATCTTTGCCCTAATACTCATGTGAGGATAAAAACTTAATTTATGTTAAAATCATTGCTAAAACGGGTCAGTTTCGTCCGACTGTGCTTTTGTCAGCCGATGAAAAGTCTTTTGTTTTTAACAGTGCGACTTTCAGATGTTTGGTCAGGTAAAGGTACTACGAAGAAATCTGCATACTCGCCCAGACAATGGGCTCGCTGATTTATGGAAAACATAATTCGCGTTGTAACGTCGCTTTGATTTGTGACAGTGCAATTGAAAACGATATCGTCGAAAACATAAATCAAGTGTAGACGCCATGGACACTGCTTTGCCTTAAGGCCTTACTATCGTGACGTCTCGTGTCTTAGAAGATACAATACTGAATTTCAAATTATAATTTTAAATACATATTTAAAAGCACGCAGCATCACCAACGAAAGACGTAACAATTTAATATATACATGAATTAATGTGCACTTATCTATTCCAAAAACGAAGTTTTACTAGAGAAGAGTTTGCAAAGGTTTTCTGAGTTCAAAGTAAAAACAAAAAAGCAGAACCCAAAAGGAGATGGATTGCTAAGGGCTACTTTTTACTTATACTTTCCATAAACTTGCAAACATAGTCAAGAAGCTTTTCTTTACAATTGTCTATTTTCAAGAAAAATTACTTATTCAACATATCAATCCATGGTAATTTATCTTAAAAAAAGTAATTCCTAATAAAAGTACACCTTTGTACTTAATAATATACATAAAAAAAATATCAGTGCTGTCAGCACAGGGCAAAGTAGTATTACGTAAATATAAGTTAGTACATATCAGCAATTTCTTATGCTGAAGTGTACGATGTGTTACATACCTATTTACAAACAATTCCTTTACATTTTAATCATTGATTACTATACATCTATTAAAAAACCATAATGGCCGACATAAGTAACAATACAACAACAATTGAAAAAGAATGATGGCCGACAACTGCAACAATTAGAAAGAATGATGGCCGACAACTGCAACAATTAGAAAACAATGATGGCCGACACTACGTCATAGTAGAGCAATAAAAATGGCCGGGGGCAGGGGGAAGAACTAGTATGTAATTAAAGAAACAAATAGAATTATGCGAAAATCTACAAAAGGTCATCACGTGTTACACTTTACGCTACTCAAGTAATCCTTGCAGTTCAACATTGTATTATTTACATTATACATAATAACAAACTTCAACTTATTTTATTTTCATAACGATTCTTTATGCACTAAAAACAGAAGATCCGTGAGCGCAGATTCATTAATAAATAATTTTACTTCTATTAAGAAGTAGATTTAAAGATTATAAGCTAACATAAAATTGTCAAGTGTTGGCGATAAAAATGCGAAACTACGTATAGATTTATTTTCAAACTTTGTTCTTGATAAATGTTTAGATTTGGTATAATGTTCAGTAAACTATGAAACAATATTTGAAGAGAAGAGTAGTGAAAATGTTATTTTCAAGAGGTATAATATCTAACAGCATTTTTTGTAAGTAGAGTTAAATTTAAAATGAAATTATAGAACTGCATATAGGCAACACGCCCTACTACAAAATAATTAATTTTCACTGTATATGTATAACAAAATTGTAATTAAAAAAAGAAACAAATCTGATTGTATTACATTGTGGAATTGTAATATGAAATGAAATGAAAACTGAAAAAATGTTCTGAATATATTCCTTATATTTAATTCAAAATAGGGTACTTATCAATTGGTCCTCTGGAATTACAAAATAAATAGATACAAATAATTGTGATACCTATGCTGTTAAATGAAAAAGAAATAATAAATAGAGTAAAATTAGTAATGCAAAAATATTATTATAAACTTACATTTTACTCAAACACAAACGAAGGTTCAAAAAAGTGCAGCCATGAAGACTAAATGTTATTTTGGTGATTGAGAATGCAGTTTTCTTATTTTCAAATTACGCCAAATAAATAAATACATAATATTCACGTTCTATTATCCCCTTATTAAATTCACATTTTGCATATTGGGCTAAACTGTAAATGTTTTAAGCACTGATACAAAATTATAAAAAAACAATATGAGAGTAAATTTTGGTAATTCATAAAATAATGGAAGGCCTAAATAGACTATACTTTGCCTTAATAAGCAGTAATTTTAATCAATTGTACGTAATTAATTTAATTACTGAACCTGGCATTCTATTTATAAAAAATTGAGGTTAGATTAAATGTCTTGTGATTTATCAATAAAAAAAAATTACAAGTACAACTTACATTTCACAGTCGTCAATGCTTTGCTTTATATTACGTGCTCACTGTTGACAACAAAATCGAAATCCTTTTTAAACAAAATTTTAAAATTTCACGAACCGACACTAACACTAACGAAAACAATATATACCAACATAAAAACTTCTACCAAGGTTATAAAATGAAGCAGCACTACGAAACACTGCTATATTCAAAAAGTTTTATTTTAAATATTTTCCTTAATTTTAACGCTCCTTAAAATAATGGCAATTTACAATTTTAATCTTTCTTTAGTTTTAAATTGTCCCCAATTAATTTCTTCAACTTTTGATAAACTATTTCAAATTAAATTTTAAGAAGCGCGTATTGTTAGTCAATCAAAGTATAAACAACCACCAAAAATGCAGTACCACTGTAAATTTAAAAATAAAAATCGCTGCTTTTAAGCTTTACCATTTTTTTATTTATTAAAGGAAATTGAATGCTAAAAAGAAAAGGACAAGCATCAAATAATCTGCAAAATGGTAGTACAATCTTGAATTTTAAAAAGTATTTATCCAAAAATAAACCATAATAGGTATAACAGTAGGTAGTACCACTGTTACAAACGCAAAACCAAAAAAGGCGGGCTTTTCTAATTACACTGTTATATGATTTCAAAACTACAATATATTAATTATATTATATGCATGATCGTTAAGCAATTTTAATATAAAGAAAAGAAAGTAGATTATTGTAATAATTTATTTAAAATAAAACGAGAAACAAAAATCACAGCCATTGGATTTCAAAAAATTTATTTCCTTTTATTATTATCTATTTCAGCAATGTACTGCTCAGGTATAGAAGAAATTAATTTCTCATAAGCAGAATTTACAGCATCTTGATCTACTGACTCTAGACAAACTCTTACCATATACAATCTACAAAATAAAATTCTTTATCCTCTACAAAAATTACTCCTTTAACTTTTATAGATTCCTAATATGAACACAGAAAAAATAATTAAAACAAAAGTAAACAATATGGCATTTGTTTTCATTTATTATCTTGAATAGTGTTCCTATTTTAACAATTTCTGGACTTTATGCTTATATTTTATGATTAATACAAAACGTTTTGAGTCTTTTCAATAAAAACATATCAAAATAAAGAGCACTCTAGTGTGCACACCTCCGTTTGATCATCAAAACATAATAAAATTTAACAATACTTACTTATTTGTAATATCTGGATAAGAGCCAAATAAAACATTTGGATTACTTTTAACAAGGTTATCTAAATAGGGAGCTACTTTATCTTCTGATACGGTCAAATAAAGCACCTTTGAATAAAACTTAGTTGGTGAATAAAAAAGTTCTTTGTGTAGTAAATTAAAAGATTTCTGAAATAACTGTGGAACTCCAGGGAACATATAAACATTTTTTACCCTTACATTTGGGTAAGATTTGTGACTTTGAGGATAAGTTAGTATTGATGACTGAGGTACCTTCAATGAAACATTAGTAATAATTATAGAAAAGGTCGCATTTTAACTTACTCTAGATAACTTCATTCCAGGATAATTAATGTCTGTTGTGTTAAAAAATTCACAGCAGAGCTTATACAATTCAGGATGTACTATTAAACGTTCATTGAAAGCCAATGATACACCTTAAAACACTTAAAATTATTAAAAGGAAATAATATTTGTAGAATGTAACTAAACCTTCAAAGGTAACATCATCATGTGTAGGCCCTATTCCACCAGTTGTTATAACATAGTTGTACTTCGAAGAGAAACTTCTCACTTCATTAGTTATTTCTTTGAGATCATCACCTATTACTACAATCTGTAAAGGAAAACTAATGAAAACATTTCAACGTTTTACTTGTCATTTTGGTAACAACCAACTTTTTTAACTTGAACTCCAATTTCGTGAAGTTTAGGCGTCATATAACTAGAATTGGTATCAACTACGTCTCCTTTTAAAATTTCATCTCCAATAACTATAAAAAAATACATATTTACTACTAAGAGCAAATGATAAGAAGCTTACCTATAATCCCTGCTGATTTTGCTTTTTCTCTAACATAAGCAGTAGAAAACCTTAAAAGTCTGGGCAAAAGATGAGAGGAAAATTTATTAGCGTTGAATAACATATCATTTTTTTGCACACATTATTCCCTACTAAAATTTAGATTCAAGGAAATTTCTGCATCATTTCCTAAATTTATGTTCACAGGTTATGTTTATAATCTATGGTCTTTGTAGAATTATGATTGTTGTTACTATGACCAGCTATGACGCCATAGATAATTATGACGCTTTCGTATCCTACAATGGAACCCAACTTAAAATTAGCGAAATTAGCAAGATAATTAGTTAAAAATTGAAAATATCATTAACGATACAAAAAATAAATAAATCTCAATTCTCCTTCATAAAGATCCAATACAGCTGATCATACAGGATTTTTGTTCTTTTACTAATTTTGAATGACTACTTATTTGTTTTACAATTATTCGTTAATAACAATTGTTTGTTCATTCTTTGTTTATTAAAAGTTATATTAATTTTTATTTTCAACTCTATTTGTAGAAATTTTTTTCCTTTTAAATTAAGGAATTCTCTTACGAAAAACATAAGGAAGTATATAATGGATTCAGAAAAACAGAATTGCTTTACTTTATTTTGTCATACTGAATATCATTTTTTAAATACAATAAACATTAAAAATATTTTGAAATGAAGGATAAAATTACTCGGATTGTAAATTATTGAAATTCCATTTAAATAATAAGCAGTTTATTTATTAATATAAAAAAATATACGTTGCGCTCATTTAAACATAAAACTTAAATAATCTTTAGCAGAATTATTGTATGCAAAGAAGCTCAAATTTACAGACCATATTTAATTATTAGATTACTATACAGTATATCATTAAGAAGCGTTTTAAGGTCCTATCCCAGATATGAGTTTTTGTTTAAGAGCTTTTAGCATTTTTATTCGATTTTTCGTAGTATTTAATCGACCTTCAAGGGTCTCGCATGTTGGTATTGCTATTTTCGAAATTATATGAACAAGAGCTTGTGTTTTGAGTGCATCATTATGCAGTTTTGTCAAAATATCATTGGTTTTCTTGTCATTTGGACTGTGACTTTCTATCTCTTCCTCAACAAGAATATTTGGTAAATCCGCTACACCTATTGTAAAAAAATAACCAATAAAAACAAACAGTACAATAAAGTTTTACAAACAAAGAATACCTTTTAAATTATAAGCTTCAAAAGGAGAAGCTTTTATGACAACTTCAATTTCTCGACTCTGCAGATTGGAATACGTTTCCTGGGACTGAAAACAAATTAATGTTACATGATTGGTGTGAGAACCCATTTCTCTTGAATAAACTGAAAAAATCAATCCTACAAACAAGGGATCCATCGTTTGATACATGGCCTGCGTTCGAATATCTATAAATTTAATGAATTAATGTATTGCATAAGAGAAATTTGTTTTTTATATACCAACGTGGCTTGGCCATACTGTTATGTGAGGATGAGAATGGTACCATCCTAGAACCCTCATAGGACGTTTCAGCTCTTGTGCCAGAATTTCAGCTTTACTAGATGCAGAACACAATTGTGTTGGTGAAATTTCAACACGATCGGGCTGTTTATCACTTCTATTTAAAGTGAAACAAGCAGTTATGTTAGAAACTCCATTTTCTTCGTCAACCTAAAATCAAAAACGTTCCTTATAGTACCATTTTTATTCTACATCCATATTATAAAGGGTTTTATGTAATATGGACTATCTAATGATAGATACATTAAAATGTAAAATTTAAGAAATTCTCACTTTTTGTATAGAAAATAAAAATAATATTTGTTAATAAACCTCAAAGCCTTGTGGAAATAAAGGAAATGACTGCATTTTTATTGCCTTGAATGATAAATTATTGATTAAAATGACTTGAAGTAAAAGCCGAATTTGTTTGTGTACTGTGAAGAAATTTATGACCCAATTTTTAATTATATGTTGCAGTAATAATAGTACTTGGAATAAAACTTTCGTAAGATGTTTAAGTGTGACACAAAAAGTACTAGTTATTTCATATCATCTACATAATGCGCCTATTTTTTAACAAGTAAATACAAAACAATATAAATACCTATTTGCGCCGACTGATAATCGCCACTAAAGTTTATCTTATCTATCATACAAAGAATTCAATTTCAAGTAGATCATACACATTTACATTTCTGGGCTTAAGAACTTATTTATTTAAGTGTACGACGAATGTTTATACCTTTATTTTCTTACATTTATCTATAATCAGACAAATAGTGAAATAATAATGTTTTTATTCAATGTTTGTTAATTTTAATAAATATATTAATCTCGTTACTTTTAACATTAATAATAGCACAATAATATAGGATAACAAGAGTGTTTAAACTCAGAATATACTTAATTAGTTATTCAGTGATATGCCTTATTAGCATTTATTTTTGTTCTAACAAGTGCAGGGACAGCATCTCGTTCTTTTAGTTCTCTCAAAATAGATGTATTCTAATAGAAAAGCTGCTCCCAAAAGTAGAGCTTTGTGTTTGGAATCAGTATTTCGACTAGGAAACTGCACACCCAAGTTGTATGCGACTTGTACTTGATCCCACTGATGATAAATACTTCCCAACTGTGTCATTCCATCAGGACTATATATCTTAAAATGTGCTTCTTTAAGAGGTACAAAACATCCAAAAGATTTTGGACCTTCTATTCTGTACAATTGATTAACTTGTTCATCATATACTAAATATGTTGGGGTATCGAAGCTGAACTGTTGCTTAACTGTTCCTATAAATTCCCCTGGAGCAGCCCATACTTCCACGACTTGTAAATAACATAGAAATGAACAATTTCCACAAGCTAATCTCCTTCTTATTTCCAATGCTTCCTGTTGAGTTTGATCAAACAGTCTTAATGAAAATGATCTACTTGAACCAAAACATGTTCTCTGACAACCTGTGGAGTTTTCACATGCATAAAATAAAGTTTCCCCATTCGGAACTTTTATTGTATAACGATTTTCTGATTCTACACTTGATAAGAGGGCACTTAGTTCAACTGTTTGCGTAATAAGAAGTTGTTCAGCACCATTTAAGAAGTCTATCCCTCTTAAGGGAATAAACTGAGATAAATTTGTGGTACGCCAGTCTATTGTTGAAACAGGAATTGGTCGTCTGACTTTAGAGGCTGCATCTGTGGCATCATTAGTAGAAGTTGGTTGTTGTGTAACAACAGGATTATCATCTGAAAAAACTGGTAGCTCCATTTTTGCACTAACTTGTAAGCTACTGGCACTTATATTTAATTCCCTTTCTGCCACATCTGCTTCAGGTGTTTTAAACATTTTACTTAAATTAACAAAAGTAACTGAAAATTACTAATAAATATGGTGTCGAACATAAAGATAAAGGCAATCTTATCAGTTGTGTGTAATCAAACTAAACAGGACACTGTTGTTGTAATCGATTAATACCTTCAAACGGTATTTTTTTTATCAAATAGAATACTTCCTATTGCAGTTATACAACATACATTTTGTAAATAATAAAATTGATACACACAACAAAGTTTTAACTTTGATGATACATACTGACTTAAATACTACAAATAATGGAATTTTAAGGAAATACTGACCTCACCAATAAGTAATCCCATAATTTCCTCCTTTTCTGTTGTAAAAGCATGATGTAAACATACAGCAAAAACATCTGCTGATAGGTAAACTTTACGTAGATATTCCGCCTTATTTCCACTCATTTTTATCAGTGATATAACTTTTAATTTACAGTAGCAAAAACATTCAAAATAACAAAGAATTTTTTAGTATGTAGATAAATATCGCATTGATCATACGTTAGAAATCGTTTCGAATGGTTTACATTTTTGAAAAGAATTTATTAGAAAACAGCTGACAGTATTTTACGTCTAACATAAGCAGAGTATTCACTGACAGCTAATGAATTCATATTAATTAAAAACTTTAATCAGAAAAACTTTAACATGATCTTAACACGACTAACCTCACGTTATCAACAAAATGACAATCTGACTACTATCTTACTGCAGTGACATAGTTGTTTCATCGAAACTACACTGACATATAAAGTATTCGTCGAAAGCGCGCTTAAAGCTCCACATTTAAATTTAAAAATTTTGTATTTATAAACTTTTACCATTCAAACCCGATAGAAATGCAACTTAATATAAAATTATACAAACACATCAGGATGTATGTATTTACAATTATATCTTTTAGTATTTTTTAATGTCATTAATTAATAAAAATATATTTCGAATTTCTGTTCATTCCATTTAATGTATTAGAACTAGGTCCTCTTTCATTATAAAAGCATACAAAAAGGCCAACTTTTACTCGAAATAAAACATTTCAAAATTACATTCAAGCAGGAGTATTATCAGTGAATGTATTGGAGAAGTAAATCCAAGTCTGCATTGCGCCGCGACGTCGGCGTCTAAAACCCCCTCCAACATGGCGTCATGCCAGTAGTGCGCGTCTGGATACGGTGTAGCGAAGTTTGTATGCAGAAAAATGTTGAAATTTAATAGAAAATAAAATAATTTCACAACTAAACTCCTTCAGTGTATTTTTTCAGGTAGGTTTTCATTCACTAAAATTTATAATTCAGTCGGTAATTCATTCATAAATGTATTCATAAGACACACGCACTGGTTTATTTATGGTAAATCAATGAAGTACTTTGTTATATAAACCATTTCAAAAATTACATGTTTTTATGTATTAAATGTTCAGCTGCAAGTAAGCTAACGTCGTATTGTTATTTTGGAAACGAAAAATTTTGAAAATATAATCAATACCCACATTTCGACTATTTTAGGTCACCTACATTTCTTTTTTCGTATTCTGGTTTCCAAAGTTGTTAAACTAGAACATGAATTACTTACATTTGTTTTTTTATTGCTGCTTTATTTTTCTGATAAAACTTTTTTTAATTAATTCCACTGTCCCTGGTTTTGTGAAAACATTTTTAAATAAACGAAAATAAATAAATAATGTTTCAAAAAAGTTTCGTGAAGCACCATAAATATTTTTATTTAAATTGTGTTGTATGTAGCTTTATCATCATCATTATTATATTTTGTGCAAACGTGTTTCATTGTTTAATTTGCCTTGAATGCACGTAAAAGAAAAGAATATGCATTTTTCTTAAACAAATGTGTATTTGTTATTAAGAAGCATGAAGTTTTTAAAACTATGTGAGAGACTTTTTCTGAAAGTTTAAACTTTTCTGTAATAGTACCACTTTGTAATCATCAATGTCATTTTGATTTTGTTTAGTTCTACTTGTTTAATATTAATACGTTTCATTTCCTTTTTGGTAAAAATTAATTTTCAACAGGCGGCATTTGACCTTTTCGTAGATAAACCGAGGCCTCTAATTAGTATTTAATTCATCCAAACCTCTTATCCCTTTATTGTTTTCTTTGGACGCCTTTTCAGTAGCTTAAAACCAATATTTTAATTGATGTGGAGAGATCAAAGATAATTTCAACTATCAGGAATTTGAAGCGCCAAATTAACTCATTTAAGAACCAAAAAGATCCTTAATAAACATTTTAAAAAGAATAGAAGTTATTTAGTACAGAAACAAATTCAAAAACTAAGCAAGAAGACGCCCTCATCTGCTTAATAAACACTCATCGTGAATCTATTTGAATAATGAGTTCGACATCAGTTCCCTCATCATTACGTATCAAAACAATTCGATCTAATGAAGATAATTAATAACGCCCAATGGTGCAGTTGATTACCATCAATTGCTTTCAACATGACGACACAGCGACAACATTTGAACTGTATTCAACTCCCTGAATTACCTTGTTAATAGAAGATTACTATAAAAAAGAACCGAGTTTTCAAAATAGGTACAATAAATAATCAACAATAATTGGTCGTTAGAACCATTTCAAAGTTTTCTTTTATTTAAACTAACAATGTAATCAATATTTACTATATCACGGTATTCTTCATATCAACACTGTGCATTACTTAGGAAACCCACATTGCTCCCCGCTTCACCACCTATTCCTAGCAAAAAGCTTCGGGACGGCTTAATGAGCTGCATTCAACTCAGCTAGCTGATTAGTAGCCAGAGTATCCGCTTCATTTTATTACGAACCGTAACTGTCGATAGATAATGATTAGGAAATGAATTGAAAAAGTGCATTACAATCGAAAATACTTCAACTTTTGGAGAATTATTACATAAACGTTAAAGTGTTGACGACGGATAATTCATCTTACCTGATGATTGTTGAGATCTTATCAAACTTTAATAAGCCTCCATCTAGATGTAAAATCTGCAATGTAATCTGAATCTCGAACATCTCAAGTAACTACTGTCACGCTTAAATGAAAATATCATCTTCATCTTAGACTTTTCTCCGTTAGGATCGAGTAATTTGTAAAAATGAAAATGAAAGCTCATAATACTCATGTTGTCATCTAAATTTATTATTTTATATTGTACTGTAGAAAGAAGATTTTGAAATTCTTTCTGGGCATTTCCCTGGACGCTAGTTTTAAAGAAATAAATCATCGTATCAAAAAAGGGGATGTTTAAACTAATGAACAATAAGCAACCAAAGAACGAAATTACCATAAAAGATAAAAAACAAGAAAAGAAAGTAAAAAAAAAAATTAAAACACGTTAACTAAATGAAAACAATTGCCTTACCATAAAATGACATTAAGAAAATGTGTAATTAATCAATTAATTAACTGTTGTGTGATAGACTTTAAATTACAATTTTGTTTCGTTCATTACGCTCCTGTTTGTCCCATATATTTACTGTTTGTTCCAGTAACGACAATGAGGCATGCGTCTTTCCTGTTGCAGGACTGGAAGCAGGACATCCGGCGCCAGGACTCCTCATTTTGGCGCCAATGCCTTCCCACGTCGATCAGCATATGTTAACATTTTGGCCACCAACCTAATGGATAATGTAACAACTATTTCAAACAATAAAATGCTCGACAGAGACAACAAGAGGCCTCGATAAAGAAAAAGGTAAGTATTTACTACTTGATTTTTACAATTACTTCAATGATCAAGATTTTCCCGGTTGTTTTCCGTTAAAAATCGATTTCTATTATCCTGGTATTTCTAAAAAAATAATTACCAATTTATTTGACAATTCAAAAATTCAAATAAAAGCAAAACTCTAAAAAATTGAAATTCAGATACTTTGACATGTTTAGAAGAAACGAAAATAAAAGTATCAAATATTTTTCTAATATATATTAATGATCAGTTTTAAGAAGTAATATATAGATCGACTACTTTAGTTTGTTTTTTAATAAAATCGTTTATTTGTAGTTGTTAACATCAGTCGAGTGTGTCAACCGGTAAACTTTACTTACCATGGCTATCTATCAAGAAAGGAAGTTTTTTTGATGCTAAAATGGCAACTGTTACGGTAAGACTAAAAAATTGCTTCACTTGTAATTGCATTATTTCTTTATCTTATTGTTTATACAAAAATAAGTATCTATAGGAATAAGTATTAAAATACACACTTGTGTTAACAAAACTAATACAGTTTTTTTTTTATAAACTGATCATATTTGCAAAAGAAATAATTTCTTAACGAATATCAATCAGCTAACTTCTTTTGTCATTCTTTTACGTAGTTTAATTGCATCTGCCTCTTAAAGTTTCTAATCCATTTCATTTTTTATCTTTTGTAATATGGCTAATAGTACATTCAACGTTACTAAATTAGTTTGTTAAAATTAGCTGTAAAGATCATTACAATTTTTTTCAAACTACTTACCAAATTAGATTTTGTATGGGTTCTAGACGAAACGATTTCAACAGTAAAAGGCACAGGACGTTTGAAAAAAAACCATTTTAAAGTTTTTCTTACTGCTAGGGTCAATTCGTACGAAGAATTTCCTCGTTGAGTTCTGATAGTGGATTCAAGGGGATTAGTTTTCTTACGATTTTTAATTTTGTTCCGTTCTATCGTAATTTCGGAATAGATGTAGATGAACCCTCGTTTTTCTATTAGTGTTGGTAAGAAATTTATAGGCAAAGGCTTTTCCTAGAATTTTGTTCTTGATCAAGGATTTTTTCATTACTTCTCATTCGGTAAAATAAAACATCTGTAAGTAGATTTATTTAATTGTGAACGTATGGGAGAAATAGATGTATTTTCGCGGAAATTTTACACGGAAAACTGCAGTTCCTGCAGACAAATAATTCGTTAAATCAAACGTATTATGTATGTTTTACATGTGCACAAAAGTCTAAAACAAATGAAAAGAGTTGAAGTGTGAGAGTTAAGAAGTTATAAATATTACGAGGAAATTTTAAGTATAATTATTTTTTAAGGTTGTCATTTGACTTTTTAAAGAAAATTGCATGTTTTCTACTAATATCATCACAATATTACATTTTGAAAATTAGTATGGGAGTTAATTGGATTCAAGATTGATTTCATCCCGAACGTTTGAGCATACAGTTATAATTTCGCATGGTTGTCCCTGTTTCCTGATTGCTCATTAAAAGTAGTTATGATACTGAAATTAAACAGAAATTGGTACCAGTCAGGATTGTAAAAAAGCCCTTTATATTAAAAAATACATTACGCTTATTTCTCTTTAACAAAATTAAATGATACATAATCATCGTGCAAAGGGATACAAAGGGATATAGAGGTAATTTCGTGATTAGACTTTGGAAATATTCCACTGATAAGGGAACCTTTTTCTCGAACCCAATTTCTAATTAATAGACAACATCAAAAGTCAAGGGCAGAATTTATATTATAGCCAACAATTCCAGCCACATCCATAACTCAATGAATATTGTATTAAGCAATAAATTAACGCAATAGGGTGTACTATCTAGAGTTATTTTTACGGCTTCGTCACCCTTAAAGAAAGAAAAACGAGTTTAATAGTTTTCTTTGGGGTTTGTAATCCAATTTTTCAATGTCGAAATACGTCTTTTTACATTTCCGTTTATTTCAACACACGTCGTTCACAAGACGCTTCTTTGTTTTCATTGAGGGTTGACCTAATTCCGAAGCGGATGAGACTCTTCCCTAGGCAGTGAAATTTTTCGAATTTTACCATTTACGTAACCGTTCTTCACGTTATCGCCGTTCTTCAGTAATATAACGTTTACTTATAATGTGCCATAAATCAACTTAATAATTAATCGTTGAAGGTAGGCTTTCACGGTCGGCGCTTGTTGAAATTGAATTACTTTTCGGGTTAATACAGTTGTCCTAATTTTGTAGCCATCCTGAACTAATAAAGTTTTGGGATGTTGAAATATGAAATTCCTATTTAGGAACTGTGGTTTATACAAACTTATTGCTTTATTCACTCGAGTTTTTATCACGTCTGTTTTCTGATGTATGGGTTGTTGGTTAAGACTTTTTATGTAAATATCTATCAGTATATATTGGTTTTAGATAGATCTTATGTCCTAGTCTTCCTTTATCTTTCTTTATAACTAATAGGACGTCCAGAAACGAAAGGGTGCGATTGATTTCCTTTTCTGTTTAAATTGTAGCTTCGCATTTACGCTGTTCAGTTGCAACAGGAAGTCCTCAAGTTTCTTGTTTCATTCCCCATAAGTTCACACCGCAAACACGTTGTCGATGTATCGCAACCGGCATTTTGGTTTGTAAATGGCCTTTATAATTGTCAGTTCTTCAAATCTTTGTCATGCTTTCTAGTAAACCTAGTTCAGTATAAAAATAATGAAGAAGATAACAGTTTGTTGATAATTGGAGAATAAAAAGGGAGGAAGTCGAAATATGTTGACAAAACGTTTTCTTGTGTAACTGCCTACAACTGTATAGACAAAATGTTAATTAATTGAAAAAATTAACAATTTTATTCAAAATTACTATTATCGTATATTATGTATAAATATAGACATATGCGTTCTATTGTTATTCATAGCACAAAGAATGCAGCAAATTGTTTTTAATATCTTCCGTCTGGCATTCAGTAACAATAAAACCGATTTTAACCAGTTTCTTCATCCAAAAGACAACTGATAGTTCATTTATTGCAAATATGGTAACTTTGCAATCATAAATGCATAATTGTTAATGCTAAAAAGCACAATTACAATTACAATTACGATTGAGTTTTTGTTTTTACGGAACGCGTTAAATTAAAAATATTTTCTTTTATATCGTTTATATATACCTTCCGAGAAAGCAATAATATTAAATTTGTAAAATGTATAGACAACAGCATGTATTAAATGCTTGTTTTAGATGATAATAATGAAGTAAAAGATACAGAACAATAATTAAAGATATTTCAGTGAATGTTGACTTAAAGACAAAATCGGCATCGCTTAAAACAAGAGGGCTTCCGGAAACAATAGGAATGCAAATGATTTTCCACTCGCAGCGTACTGAACTCAACAAAATATTAAGTTTAAAATCTTGGCACACATCATGTATTCATTGTCCAATTGATTTTTACTAGTGAAAAGCTAAAAACAGCAGTAAAAAATCAAGAAATGAGACAGTAATAAGAACGAAACACGAAAAATTTTTAAAGAAAAGCTGTAATATCGTATTATTATGGCAACAAAGTAATTTAAAGTCTTGCAGTTTATTGTAAAGGAGATCTATTTAGTTGTTTTTTATAATTGTTGGGTTGTCTTTTTTGCCTCCTGAAGTTGCAACAAGTCTTCGTACTTACGATCCTGCAGTGATGATGATAGCGTTTTCAAAATTTTTTTATACCGAATAAAATAAATGCATTTGATGAAGCACAGAATCCTGAAGCAAGAGCCAAACTCGTTATTGGCTGAAATATAGCTACATATATTTAACAGAATTCCAACGTTTCACCCTTTGATTGTGGTATTTTTCAAGGAAATTGTTTGTCCACAGGCGTAAAGGCGTGATCGTTATTGTTTAAAATGATATAGAAGTAAATTTTAAGATATTTTTAAGAATCAATTCACAAAAACTACACATTATTCATTAAAAAGAAACAGGATAGTGGAAACTGTAAAACGGAAATTTTAAAAACAGAACGTTGATCACATCTTAAAAAATGTTACAAAAGTTACCATGGTTAGTCACTATAAAGTAGGTGCAAGAAACATGTATTGACAAGCATTACTGTGCTAACATGGTAATTTTTTCATTGTCAGTCCAGTACCTAACCCAGATTACGAGACCGCATGGTAATTTCCCTAAGCAAGATATTAGTATCCGTAAGTTCTACGACCTTACAATTTCTATGAAAAAGTCACAATCAAAGGGCGAAACGTTGGAATTATTTTCAAATATATGTACTTGTATTTACTTCAAAAGTTTAGTCTTTGTTGCATCTAATATTATCAAAAAGACAATGGAATATATTTATACCTACCTCATCAATTACGATGATTGACTCGTACAAAATAATAACTATTTAGCGTACAGCATTATTAGAGCAAGACAACTGTTTATAGATTGCGTTTCAATTTGTAAATTAAACTGCAATAACTGAAACTTGTTTAAACTAGAAAATACTGGTATAAATGAACAACGGAGTTATAATTAATTGTTGTAAACCGTAACAGTAACACCATGTCAAGAATTTATAAATACATTCAAAACATTAAATATGATGTAACTTACAATCGCGCGCGTAAAATCTTCTATAAATGTTCTGGAATAAAAATAAGGAGAACTAATTATCGATCATGCTATACTATCTTTTTTTAATTTTCTATTTAAGGAACATAAATAAACATCTATAATTTGCTGAAACTTGATAATTGGGATCTAGTTTTAATCCAAAATCAATCTATAGATACAATTCTAATTTCATCTCCAGATCGACGGTAGGTACTAGATGGATTCTCGGTTAAGTCTTTAATTAGCTTAATTGAACAGAATGAATTTAACACTTCGTTTCTAAAGCAAAACTTTGATCTTAACTCCACCGATACTTACGATACTTGTTTCAGAAAGGTTATCCTTAGGACTATCGAAAAACGAAGGTTTTGAAACTATTTTTTTTGTATTTGGATGTCTGATCTGTGGTATTTAATCTAAGTCGAATGGTACTTTGAGTAACAATCCTTTAAATTTTCTCTTTTCAGGAGGTGGCGGTGAAAAATTGTGAAGGCGGTCACTATTGCTCTCCCCCTAAGGAATGCTGCAAACAAGGATGTTGCTACATCCTTGCGCCAGCGGTTTCCTATCGTCCTCCTAGCTTACCTACTTCTAGTGTTCTTAATCCTATATTTATAGGCCACTGGTAAGTGAAAATAGGAAATTTTTTTGTCCTTCAAATTCAGAAAATTTTTATTCCTAAGTACTAATGGAACTGTTGTTTTACAAACAAAATTGACTTTTAAAAGTCCTCATAAAACTTTCACCGGTTTCGCTTTGCATCTCTAGTTAGTTGAAGGAATTAAAACTTTTAGACCTTTAAAGAACTTTAATATTTTACTAGGTTTCTAAACAGCTAGTTGTGCGAATCGAAACGTCTGTAAAGTCGAAAGTCAATATAATAAAACTCCATTGTGAAATGACGATACAGAAACAAGTAAATTGAAAAAAAAAAAAACTCCTAAAGTTTAATTTCTTTTTGTAAGATAAGTTTGAGTAATTTTCTCTTATAGTTCGACACAATACTAAGAGTTCCTATAAAGGCAACGTAAAAAGTAAAAGAAAAGTTCTTGAAGTATCTTTGCAGCATTGAATACGAACTTGTTCAGTTTGAAGTTCTCCTGAAAACTGTATAACGTATTTTTCTTATTTTCTTTCTTCTCATTGTATACATGTATTAATAATACATTGGTAAACAACTGGTTTATACTGTTACCACAAGACTTGATTAAACTTTTCTGTTTATCCAGAAACTAGGAAACACTGTGTTATACTACGCTGTATTTCTGCGACTTTTCAGAACAATAATTAAAGATATTTCAGTGAATGTTGACTTAAAGACAAAATCGGCTTCGCTTGAAACAAGAGGGCTTCTGGAAACAATAGGAATGCAAATGATTTTCCACTCGCAGCGAACTGAACTCAACAAAATATTAAGTTTAAAATCTTGGCACACATCATGTATTCATTGTCCAATTGATTTTTACTAGTGAAAAGCTAAAAACAGCAGTAAAAAATCAAGAAATGAGACAGTAATAAGAACGAAACACGAAAAATTTTTAAAGAAAAGCTGTAATATCGTATTATTATGGCAACAAAGTAATTTAAAGTCTTGCAGTTTATTGTAAAGGAGATCTATTTAGTTGTTTTTTATAATTGTTGGGTTGTCTTTTTTGCCTCCTGAAGTTGCAACAAGTCTTCGTACTTACGATCCTGCAGTGATGATGATAGCGTTTTCAAAATTTTTATACGAATAAAATAAATGCATTTGATGAAGCACAGAATCCTGAAGCAAGAGCCAAACTCGTTATTGGCTGAAATATAGCNACTTCCGTAAACGTAAGCTGAAATTAAATCTTGTAACATAATAAAGTACTTATAAACAGAGAGGAAGATGTTAGAACGTGTTATATAAAGACGATTATGTTTTTTTTAGTAGGTATTCAATAATGACGAGAATATTATCAGTAAAATAACTACTGAGAGGGTAAGATACAAAGTAACAGGTCTCTTCCCCGAAACACTTCGAATAAGTACCTACTTTAATAAAAAATAAATAGACATCTGAAGATGGAAGATATTTAAAATGAAGTCAACATCATATTAAATTAATAAGCAATTCTTTGAAAATATTTGACGATTTTAAAAATGTCAAATATATAATCATGTTTGTATTTACCAAACATCAGAATATTTATGAGACATTCCCAATTTATTAATAGTACCACACGTTAGAAATGAAGAGGTATTAGAAAGAATAGGAGAACAGAGGACTCCATGGGAGTCAATATGAAATGGGCGAGATAGGTTAGTAGGATACCTTCTCAGGCATGAAGGTCACGTCAGATACATATTAAAGGCAGAAACAGGAGTTAGGAGGAGTAGAGGTAGGCCTAGATTAGATTACTGTTCGCAAATAGTTAAGGATGTGGGTTGTTCTAGTTTTAGGGAAATGCGAAGATTAGCTCAGGATAGAAAAGAGTGGAGGTACGTCTCCAAGCAGTCTTAGGACTTACGACCTTATGATGATGATGATGACTACATGTTATGATATAGTACCAGAAAAAATAGGAAACATTTATCATTACAATTGAAAAACCATTTAATATTTTTACAATCAATGAGATATCGTGAATACGCCAGTGTAAATGTAATTTATTAAACTTGAAACAGTTATAATATTTAATCAGTTTTATGATTTTGTCAATTCCTGTAAATCATCAGTAAAACATTAAATTTCACATAAAACCCTAAAAAACGTTTCAACGTATTTTGATAGGTATAATTGTACCATGGAAATCCTTAGGGAAGAATGCAAATTTAAGGAACCATTCTCAAAAAGATGAGTTTTTACGCTTTTTCAGACTTTCGATCTACACGTAGAGAACTACCAGAATCAAAAGTTGTAAAGAGTTTGAGACATGACCATTTTGCGTAAGGATCTAGCAGAGTCCTGTGGTTTTCCTATATGCAAACAGACTTTTGACCGAATTTCGTAAAACTTGGGAAAGTTTTAGTGTCTGATCAAATTTATATTACGATTGCGTAACCATCTGCAAAATATTCCCAACATTATTATTATTATTATTATGTATTATTACGTAATTACGAATCTGTTAACGCTCGGGGAGCAAAAATCCTTCAACTGTACGTGTTCATAATTGCAGGAATTTACATGCAGATTACATTCGTAGCTCTAGGACTTCGTTATAAGCGTTGCATGCGAGTACAAGAGAATAAATATATCGAATTTAAAACACGAAAAGTTAATGCATGCATATCTTTGCATTCTGCAGCTGTTTTAGTTGCGTGCAAGAGGAAATCAAAAACGAAATGTATAAATATATAAAAATATTTCGAATTCAGCTCTTATGAAAAGGCCAAGGCTTTCACGGCAGGCTTTATCAGTGTAGTGCTTGATATTCTAGGATTATTTCACCTCCTTCAGTGAGGACACCGGCGTTTCGTCAGTAGTTTTGGTTGGCATCCAAAAGTCCTTCGCAGCTGTTGTATTGAAACGGTCCCGAGGCTATTCGGCTCTTATTTTATATTAAGTAAATAATATGTAAATAAAATGATACAAAATGACGTCACGGATGTTTTCCCGGCTCATTCATCAAGAGCAGTTAACGACTCACTAGCCACTACGATAAATAAAACGGAATAAACAGGATCACAAATAATTGTGTCCATACAAACATAAATTAGCGACAAGAAAAAGAAAAACTATTGCTAATGTTGCTTTTTTATTGAATAATATATATATCCCTTTTAGATTGATTAGCTTTTTTACTGAGAAAAGGTTATTTCGTGAACTGTTCTTGTGGTCGTTAGGAGTTTGTAGAATAGCTTTATATATATGTATATGTAGTACAATAGCTAAAAGGATATCCTATTTCCTCCCAGATCGATTCTTATTAAAAGACTAACAACACATTTAATATAAGACATTAAAACCTTCATTTTGTATGGACCCATTTAAATATATACCCACCCTTTTATTTCATCATCGTCGTCAACCCCACGATTGGTTGGACACGCACCTGCACTTTTTCTTAATCTTCGCATTTCCCTTAAAGTAGAACATCATATATCCTTAACTATTTGTGGATAGTAATCTAATCTAGGTCTACCTCTACTCCTCTTAACTCCTGGTTATGGTTCTAATGTCTCTGACTAGCCCTTCATGCCTAACAAGGTGTCCTACCAACTTATCTCGCCTATTTCCTATTGACTGATACCCATTTCTATCCTTTTCTATCCACGATATCCTCAACATTCACCTGTAAGATCACATTTAGACTATTGATTATAGAAATATCTTTTTTGTCGCTTCCACCGTGCATGTTTCGCACTCATACAGCGCCGTGCTCCAAATATAAACCTTTAACAATCTTTTTCGTATTTCTAAATTAACCGTTCGCGAGCATAAAAGTGACTTCTTTTTGTTGAAGGCAACTCGTCTCTGCGCTATGCTCTGTCTGCTCCTTCCATCTTGAATTATCTAACTTCCTATAGATATAATAAATCTATATTCGCTCTTTTTCTTGCATACCAATATGAGAGTGGAGCCACGATTCAGTTTTTCGAAACATATCCATTAACTTTACTAGTCAATCGTCTTTTATTTTGGAAGTGGGCCAAAAGTCAATTTTCCCATTTTTGATTGAACTGGACCTAAATTTCCACATTCCCAAAATTACAAAAAAAAAATACTTTCTCACATGGAAGTCATAATTGGCTAAGGCACTAACAACATAATTTTATTCTGCACTCATTGAAAGGTATTTAAATTGTTATCATTATTACAATGTCACCAATTATCAATATCAAGAAAGTCGGATAAATCAGGATTCTGCATGTCTAGTTTTATGGAAATGCAAAAATTGGTTCAGGATATGGAGAAGTCAAGCTGTTTGTCCAATCAGTTGTGGGACTGGCGACATTAAGACGATGACCATTCCTTATACAAATCTTTAATAAAAATTTCACAAATTGAACTTTGTCTTAGTAAATCCCTAAAACATCGGAAGATCGAAAAGGTTACGAAAAATGGATAATTCTGATAAATTCTAGATTTATCCCAAGTTACTGTAGGAAAACACCTAATTGTAAATTAATTGTTATTAATATTGCAAAATCATTAGTATTTAGTTCGTTTGAACGTATTTTTAGATTTTCCCCCTTTTCATTTATAATTCACATAAAATTGCGGTTTAATGTATTAAAGTGGAATTCCGAACGTTGATTCTGCTTTCAGGTACTTTTGGGCAGCTCTAATGGTAACGATAGCTGGTATTTTATGTGCCTGTTCCTTATGGCGAAAACATAGCCAAAGCAGTTTAATTTGTTGCAAAAATTCTGGAAGAGAAGACCGGGTTTCAGAACCGGACTCAAACGGTTCTTGTTACGCTCCACCCCAATATAGCCGATGTAACAGCTTCTATCAAGCCCCTCCGCCCTATAGTGAGGTATTTTAAAAATTTTCTTTCCACATTTCTTTCTACCAATTAATATGTACCTCGAATCATCTTAAGGTAACTTCAAAACCTGACATGTACCCCCTTGTAATAAGTTATAATGGAATATCGAATGATCAAAACCACAAATGGGGTGGTACAACAGGGTACCTCATGGTTCAGTATTTTAGAAATTACATCGTCAGGCCAGTAGGTAAAAAATCACGGAAAGCTTTTTAAAAAGCGTCTGCAATTTTGAAATTATTTTTTTCTGTTTAAGGTTCCCTTTCTGCAACCAGCACAATGGATTCTTTGGGTTCTAGTTTCATTCATTCTGTTAACGAGGTAAGTAAAATAGTTATTATATATGTAAAAATACATACTTTCGATATTTTAAAATACAGTGTAAACTCTTTATAACGTCACTCGATTTAACGACAAACTCCTTAAAACGTCGAAATTGCTTGACTTTGGTTAGTTTACATTGTTTTCTATACAATATTACACTCTATATAGCGTCACGCTTACTCTCTTTAACGACAACAATGCAGCATTATAAATGATTGAGCAGTACTTTCTAAGTTGCCGAAATAGATAAGAACTGCAGCTGTGTACGTTGTTGAAGAAGACGATCCTGTCCCTCCACCAAGCATCAAACAAGCACTTGATGCAGCGAAACTATTAAAAAAATACTTTTTATATAATCAAATTGATCCAGCAGTATCTCATGATATGAGTAGGATACGTAACAAAATACAATTAAAATATTGGAGCCGCATAAAACATCAGACGAAGATAACAGGCTATACGCAATGTATGAATAATAATGTTCGTGTGCAAAATGTGTACTATATTGGTAAATGCATATTATTATAGAATAGTGAAATAATATCTTTTATTTCTCTCCTTTTAACGACCACTCTGTATAACCCCGAAAAATATTCGGTCCCTTAAGTGTCGTTATATAGAGTTTACACTGTATATCTTATCTACTAAAAGAAACTTCATAAATTGTAGTATTATTTCCAGTTAATATTGAAATAATCGTCAGTTGGTTGGGTTAGACAGTATTAATAGGCTTTCGGCGAATGAAAAGCTTGAAAATTTTGTCTTATCATTTGAGCTGGTAATGAGTAAAGTAGGAGCAAGACCAGTACTGTCCCAGTCTTGGTATTAATCTTGGTTTTGTTTATTTGGTCTTTTGGCATTGCTAAAATACTTTCAGTCTTGTTCTTGGTTTTGGTCTTTTTCTATTTGACAACATAATAACTGTCTTAAATGCTGAAATTTCATTCACCTGTAGAATAGCTTTATATATATGTATATGTAGTACAATAGCTAAAAGGATATGCTATTTCCTCCCAGATCGATTCTTATTAAAAGACTAACAACACATTTAATATAAGACATTAAAACCTTCATTTTGTATGGACCCATTTAAATATANACTTCATAAATTGTAGTATTATTTCCAGTTAATATTGAAATAATCGTCAGTTGGTTGGGTTAGACAGTATTAATAGGCTTTCGGCGAATGAAAAGCTTGAAAATTTTGTCTTATCATTTGAGCTGGTAATGAGTAAAGTAGGAGCAAGACCAGTACTGTCCCAGTCTTGGTATTAATCTTGGTTTTGTTTATTTGGTCTTTTGGCATTGCTAAAATACTTTCAGTCTTGTTCTTGGTTTTGGTCTTTTTCTATTTGACAACATAATAACTGTCTTAAATGCTGAAATTTCATTCACCCAAGCTTGTCATGACTTGTCTTGTCAAGAAAATAATGTCGACAGTTGTTAGAGTTGAAAGTAATATTCATTTGTTTAGTCTTTCGTATTTGGTGTTAGTGTTGCATATTTAGTTTTGGTCTTGCTCTTTCGGTTTTAGAGTTGGTCTTGGTAGTATAAAGACAGTCTTAATCTTGGTATTGTATTTTCGCAAAACCAATTTTGATCATCGCTAATCTGAGATTTTTCTCTTTCGGTTTTGGTAGTGCGTTAAGAGTGGAAAGTCTATTTGAAAATCGATAGATTTGTATTATTTCTTAGGCCAACACTATTATACCTCCTCCATACTCTTGCACCGGTAGTTTGGAAGAAGTTCAAGTCGACGGTACGCATTCTGCAGGTGGTGCGTCGTTTCCCAGGTCGGTATCATCGGTGACTTGCAGCGAACATCATTCCGGAAGTCATCGAAGTCCCAGCGTGCGATCGCACATCAGCGCCCATAACATAGCCACAACGACGGCCAACAGTTCGAACATGGTGCCGTCGACTCGCATTCCTTTAAGTAGTTCTGCACACAGTACTTTAACTACAAAGTACAATTTCGTAGTCAATCAAAAATCGGCAAACAACAGTTCGGAACGGAATAATAGTAGTAGCACTTGCTCAGTCTGCAACTCCAATAGTTTTGTAAATACCAATATTATTAATAATAACAACAACAATAATAATGCAACGTCGCAACAGCCTAGTTCCTCCAGTACCTGTGCACCCTCGCCTCAAGCGTCACTCGCTCTCGATAATCCGGAAACGTTCGCCAGGAGCAAACCGGACGTTTGTGATGGAAATTCACCACCAGCACGCGCGTTCAATAGGACGCTCCTGTGCAACGGGTTCAGTGTCGAATCCGAATCGCACGATGACGATCACAATTTCACTGATCTCTTAAATCTGTCCGTTTGCGTCCCCAGTAGCATAACACACTTGCCCTTAGCCATTCTCACTAGTTGCCATCAGCAGCACGATATCAATGTAGTCAATAGCATAACCAGTTCGGACGTGAGCAGTCTCGCCAACTTGGGAACCCCCGATTCACCGCCTAGAGCTACCAGTCCCACGGGAGAGTTGCGCGATATCCTAGATAAAATTCAACAGTTGCCTCAGCAAAGCAGTCCTCTTCCGCAAGGACAAATCACTAACGAGCAAAAGATGCGAAGTTATTTTCATCGAAGCAAAGCGAAGACCATGTACATGCCTTTGAACGAGTCCTACGGTGGAGAAAAGAGACACGTGGTGTTTGGGAAAGGTCCCAAAAACTGGATGTCAATCTCAGCTCCTACTACACCATGTTCCAGTTTCATTCCTAGTTTTCCCAGTCAGAAGAAAGGTTCCGGAAGTCAAAAAGGCAGTCGATCGAAGGTGCACGATGAAAGTCCGCTGCTCAACGAAAACGATGAGTCTGATGATGAAAATAAACGTACGTGATGGAAAAATTAGATTTAAACTGAATGGAGCATTGACTTTTTGCTTTGTTGTAACAAAAAAATTATAAAGATTAGTTTTTAAATGATTCAGGATTTTTTCTCATTACATTTGTGTTGTCTTTTCCTATCGTAGCCTTATAATTCGAAACAATCAAGCATGCCCAAAAAAAGTGTTAACTGAAAAATGCTTTTATTTGATTGCTTAAGATCATAAAATTACGATAGCGAAAGACAACACGAACGTAGTGAGTTGTGATGCTTATGTCTTTCCATAGCCTTGGATTAGATCTAGATATCATCTGAAAACTGCAAATGCTTAAGAATTCTTTTATTTTTTGTTTTCCAAACACAAACATCTTTGCGAAAATAAGACAGCAAACTGAAAGCATATTTAAAATTATTGTTTCAGACAGATTGTTCAGTCCGTGATAATAATGCTTTGATAATTCAATTCTTCCTTATTTAATTAAAACTCTTTTATAAGGTTGACGATTTTACATGAATATGTCATGAGAACTTCATGTCTATTGAGTTAATTACCTACCTAACAACTACTTTATTTGAAATTTCGCGTAAAGTTGAAGTAATTGTAAATGTGAAGCGAATAACATTTTCTTAAGTTGAGCTATCGACAATCAATCAATTGAACTCATTGAATGTAGCAAATTATTATTGTATTCAAAGCTTTAAATGCATACCTTATTGTTACATATTAAAAAAAAATCCACTTTCTACTGTTACATAAATTCTAAACGCTTTTTTCATTAATCTTTTGGTAAAACATAAGGTCGACATCACTTTTTTTGCCCACTGGGTTTAAAGCTTTGTATACTGAAACTCGTCACTTTGATGGGCTTCAATAACAACATCTTTAAATTTATTCTTACACTGATTCCACTCCAATATTTCGAAATGGCGACTTTTAGGGCTAATAAATATTCTATTTGTTCATGGTATACAGTGGCTAAAAATTAAGTAATTTGCTGTACACATTATGCGAGCTTTCGAATATGCGATGTTCGCATTAGCCAGTATCTAATACTGTATAATAACTCATTTACCTTTAAGAATGGCGAAAATATCACTTTTGAAAGTACGATTTTATTTTCTGATTTTTTTCCCGCGCAAGAAACCCCATTTTTACTAATTGTAATTTACACCAGAGAGGAAAAGCTGTACCCCCTTTTGGTGTGTAATATACTATTCTGGTTTCTTGATCGAAAAACAAAGCAAAAGGTCAAAGCTTTATTTTATATATGTACATGTAAAATGTTATTTTGGATATGAAATGGATTTTAATTTTGCGTGTACCTCGGTGTGTATGTAAGTGATAATAAAATTGCCAAAATAGAAATGAATTTTATGATAGATCTAACAACGCTCATTTGTACATTTTATATTAACTGCTAAAGTGTACTTAAAAATAATTTTTAGGGAAAAACGCTGATTATTTATAAAAATTCCTGTAACACTGCTGAAAGCATGTGATTTTATAAGTGTTAAAATTGAAAAGTTTGCAAACTGACAATATTCGCAATATCTCTCGTTCTCTCTCTAACCAATCAGAATACGAAATTGAACAGCAAAATGCAGAGTGTTTTTTCTTAGGAATTTTAAAGTAAAACTCTAGTGCTTTTTAAAAACTGTTATTTTGGCATATAAAATAGAAAAAACTGATTGTTCGAAAGCAATAAAGTAAACTCATAATTTTATACAGGGTGTTTGACGATATTCAAAGTGTATTAATTAACAAATATACATTCAATTGGTTCTCAGACAAATCAAAGAAAATTTGACGCCCTGTTTGTAATCATTATCACATTTTCGTACTATTATTTTAATGTATTTAATTTTCTGAGTATCAAAAAAAAAAAACAAAACGTTTAGAATACTTTAGAAGCTTTCTTATCTAGAAGAATTACGTAATTCTTAAGAATTGTCAGTATATGCAAACCAATTGCTTATACCTAGTTGATTATGTAATCAAAAGATACCTAAACACGAAAACTATAAAATCCACTGAATAATGTAGATATAAATACATATATTTTAAATATTAACTAAATACGAATCTAAAAGTGGATGTTTAAAAAGTTGTTTCAGTAGAATGGCACAACGCTCGACATTTTGCAATTTTAAAAAGGCATAATAGTTACCAAATTATTTTTCTCACTTATTTTTTCAATATATATTATATCTATGTCTACGAATTTAAGAATACAATAGTTTATTATTGTAGAATGTGAAATATTTTCTTAATAGAATGTGAAAAATACAATGCGAAAACGGCCAAAGTTGTGTATGAATTTAGATGTACTGTTAAATAAAATTATATTCCTTAAACAATGCATCTCCTTTTATACTTCCAGATACAATAGAAAGGACCCCGCTAAATCCTTACAGAAAATGGCAAATTTAAGGAACCATATCTCAAAATAATGAGTTTTTACGACTTAGGACCCATTGGAACTTTTAATCTACACGTCGAGAACTACCAGAATACAATTTTTCAAAGAGCAACAGAAGACTATTTTCTGTAAGGATCTAGCGGGGTCCTTTTTGTTTATTTTTTTTTCGTAAAGGTTTTTTGATCTTTTTATAACCATCAGGCAATGTCATTCATGAAGTTACTAAAATCAAAGTCACTCATTTCTGACCATTGGGTTATTATGTTACTACATTAATTATCTATATCCTTCCAGCGAGCACGACTGGGGAAGTACCAAAAATATATAGAAAATTTACAACAGTGGGGTAACATCAACGGCGAAATATATCAGTTTTAATGCCCAATTATTTTAGTACGTAAAGTCGCGTAATTATTAGAATCAACATAAAGTTTAAATATTTTTATTTTATAAAAACCATTTCAATACATGTTTGGAATTGAGCCACCATATTAATTGCTGCAACAAATATAACGCAGATAATAAATATTTGTAGTCTAAACAAAAATTACAAAGGTAAAACACAAGAGTACTTACTGTACAAGTGTATTAATTACCATTATATTTTACAATTAAACGTTAGTAGGTGCAAATATTATCTTGAAACTAAATAGGTAAACGACAATGCCAATTGTTGTTCATACCTATATCGGCCTTTTGTGGTACTTAGTTATTAGTCGGTTTATTAAATGAGAAAAAATCTTTGAAAATAAAATTAGTTCCTATTCATTTATTTATTTAAAGCTTCAAGAATATTTGATAAGTATTTATTTTACGATTAGTAAAAAGTGTTAACATTTCTGTTGAGGTTTAAAAAATAGACTTTTGTTACTTTCAGTTTCAATTGATTTAACATCATCATCTGTTAACTGTGTTTATTATTAAACTGTCTAATATTAAACGATGTTGTGATATTAATATAGTCATCACAACTATCAATAATTCTGATTGCTTTAAATAACTTTTAATAAACACGTCAATAAACGCCTTTCAATTAAACTGACAATTGGCTAATTATTATCTATATTTACAATGCTCTTTTTAAAATCATCACTACATGTAAAATGGTGGAATGGGTAAGGGCACATTAATTGGACAAGAAAAATTAAAATTTTCTAAAATTATGTTTTCTACTTTGTTTATGAGAATAATAAATGTCCAGTTTCAGAAAAATAGATAAATAAAGACACAACAATTTTTGCTTTATATATTGATAAGTGTGAATATATCTTAAAACTGCGGAAACGTTTTTTATTTGATAACTGTTTATTGCTACAAACACAAACAAAATCGTTCGTAGCGAATGCATTTGATAAAAAAATTGTAATAGTAACGAATCATTTTGGTTACAATGAAATATTTAATTGATTCGGTCATCACCTAATGAAGATCCATGTTAAAGTAATAATCAGTAGCTTGTTGAATAAAATGTGTTTAAATTTTAAAATTATTTTAAAAATTAATTGTTTATATGCTTTACATGTTAATGGCTTAAATTGTAATTAATTAATCTATCTCATGGTAAAATATGTACCTAATGGTAAGTAACGTTTAATTCTCTAAATTTTGGTAAAGTGCAGGGGAACTTCTGTGTATTTTGTCATATAGAATTTTAGTTTTTTTATAAGCTTTCAAAACTATTCTGCTTCTTTTTACATAATATAGTTTTCTAGATTTCGTTAAAAAATGTAAACCACAGAAAGAAAAAGTCAGGAAGACTAAAGTTTTAAAGAAAATAGACACACATGTACCGGCAAGGAGACCTTTAAACAACAGTAATATTAAATAATCCATTTATGAGAAGGTACATGCAATAAAACTGAAGTTTCTCTACACAGAGAAAATGAAAAAGGAAAATTTACCTAAATATTAAAGCGATATTTATAATTTATCCCACTAGTACTTTTGGGCAGCTCT